AAATTACAGGTAATAAAAATACAGTAATTCATAAATGTTATACAAGATTCCCTAATTGACTAAATGGTCTAGCAATCATGATTTAAAATTACAATTACTAATGTATGGTGGCTCCATTTTCTTCCACTTGACCATAGGAAGTTGTTGACCATGTTGTGCATCTCAAGGTTTTTACTACGAGTACACCAGGAAGTTTGTTACTCTGTGTTACTTCTCCTAGAAGCAATCACTGGGAGTGCAGCTTTCACGTGTTTCTCATATCTGGAATCAACTTACCAGCAACAACTACTATAAGGAAGGCTCAGGGCAATCAAAAGAAGACTCGAGGCATGTGCCTGAATGCCAAGGTCTTGCAACACCCCTACGGGGAAGGTATTCAACCAACTAATATTACTATTACTGCACCATCTTCACCACATCTCGACTCAAAAGTACTTTAATCTTCAAACATATATGACATATACTAGGGACCCAGCCCAAAAGCACTCATCAAGAAGAAACACTTTATAATTCTGCACAAATCAAGAAACTTCACGTGGGTGACAGGGCCGGAGTTAGTATTTCTTGTTACTTCAAAGAAACGATCAGAGAAGATCAGAAAAGGCACAGGGCTGCACGGCAGAGCTGAAGATGTTTTTTCAGAGTAGGTATGGGGGGTTGTGTGGGCTCGGTGTAAACTGCCTGTCACGCCACTTCACCTCTGTGCTGTCAGTCAGAACTGTGGGGCTAATACAATCAAAGCTCTGCATGGTGGGTGTGGCCAATAAAAGTGTAAAGAGCTTAAAGGATAGGTTCAGAGTCTACGGTAAAATACAGATGGGAGATACTACATTTCACAGTCAGGTTTAACAATGTAGAAAGTCATTCCGCCCCCTTCCAACAAACTATGCATCGCCACCAAAAAAAAGAGAAAAAAACCCCATAAAACTGCCTACAACCTGTCCCTACTTGGCCATCTCACCTAGGTGCTGGTATCTCCCAGGGGTACCATTTTCTATAGTGGATTTTAAATTTCACATTCAGCTTTTAGTCTTTGACAACATTTCTTCACCATGACCATGTGGCTGTGCCACCAACAAGGCATCCAAGTAGAGTCCCACTGTGCTGAAGGAATCTTGCCGACAACTTTCAAACTCCCTTGGGTATCCATGAACCCCCGGGCAGCCATTTTCAATACGTGATACCAAATTTCACTGCCAGGTTTTGTATAGCAGCAGACACTCCATTCTCTCTACCAGCCACAGCCACTCACTGTGCCCCAACTGTCTCCATTGTTGGCTGGTACCTGTGCACAGTTCACAATACCTCTCCAAAGCGGCCCTTTAAACAGGCAGCGTAGCATGTGTCTCATAAGAATTACATCAATCACGTAAGTTTAGGGGCTGTCCTGGAAATTTCACTTATTCTAGTAATGACCCAGCAACTGGATCAAGATTCCAGCTAGTTGCCAAATATGCATATTTCTATTCTCTGAGAATTCCTAATAAGCTATTCTTTTACTTGAGTAGAAAAATCACAACATTGAGAGAACTATAATAGGATACACTGTTATGCAAATGTCAGACTTGTTGTATTTGTGTAGATTCTGCACTGAACAAGCTTTGGTAACATTTTTAGTAATTAAGAAAGATATCCACTTTTATTTGTTTTACTGTGTTACTGGATATTACTATTGTATTTTACCATCGCTCTTAGCTTAATGTAGTACAAACAAAGGAAGAACCATTTGGCAATACCTATTGGTATCCTATCCAAGAACATTTCAGAACAACTTTGTCAGAGCAAAAAGCATATGTTGCTTGTTTAACCCAAATTATCATGATTTGCAAATACACAGTAGAGCATTCTCAAAACAGAAAGCATCTGCATGTCTCACTTCTATCCGCAAACCAACAATAACAATATTTCAGAATTGTCAGTTACCATCACTTAAAGTAGTATTAAACTGTCAATCTTTTTTCAGTAATGAATCCAGATCAAACAAGTATACATTGCCTAACAAAGCCTTTCTTTATATTTTTACCCAAGCACTTACATATCTGTAAAAAATAAATTAAGGCAACTGGACTTGCTGTATTTTTCTTGAAGAGGTATCACTGGTCATCCGACCAGCTTTCTCAATTCAGAATTTGATCTCTATTCTGAATTGAGAAAGCTAGTCAGATGACCAGTGATACACCATGACCTGGATGAATGAGAACCTTCACAGACACCAAGTGCTTACAGTCATCTTGACTCTCTAACTCTCTCAGCTTGGCTTCCCTGAACTTCCTGTTGAGTACAAGGTCAGAAGGCAGAGAGCATGCAGCATACATCTATCTACTAGCTTGGAGAAGGTGGAGGGGGAAGGAGGAAGAAATAATGGGGACGAGGACAGTGTCTCGCCTTACTGTGCCTGTGTGTATGTGGAGACACATACAGCTTACTAGCACACACAAGGTTTCTTCATAGGACCCTGCAAGGGAAAGGAGCCACAATAAATCAGGATATCAAGACTAGGATATCACCCAACGCCGCACGCGCACGGCGTCATGTGATGTCATGCCCCCCGCCTCCAGGATGTTTTTTATTTTTTTATTATTTCTTTTTTATTATTTCTTTTTTATTATTTTTTATGTATTTTTTTTACTGTTGGGGGGTTTCAGGGAAATATTAGGGGTCTAAACAGCCCCCCTGATATTTCCCTTTTAAAATAGAAAAAGAAATTGGGGACACAGAGTCCTCAATCTCTTTTTCTGCAGCCTCTGTTCTAAATGAATGGAAGGTACAGAGGCTTCCCATTTATTCAGAAAATATTTACTATCAAGCAGTTTCTGAATGGGGAGAAGCCTCTGTACAGAGTGCTACTCCCCATTGAGAAATTCATGAATGAACAAGAAGAGATGTAAAGCACTTCCTGTTCATTCACAACTGGGGACACATTGTAAATAACTGGGGACAAATAGTACTAACACTGGAGTGATCAGCTGATCGCTCCAGCGTTTGCACTGCACAGAGGATCGGTACATATCAATGATATGTACCGTTCCGCGGCTCGGCCACGCACAGAGGGGAGCTCAGCCTCCAACTTTTCCTCTGGATCCCCAGTGCTCTCCCGAGCAGAGGCAGCGGGGATCTGAGGAGAAGTGAAGGAAGCGCTGAAGCCGGTAGGGGGGTGGAGAAGGGAGCCACTGTCACAGCAGCATGGTCGAGCGGTGAGGAGAGAAAGGGGCGCCGGCTGTCAGATCCTGGCCGAGCGTCTCTCTCTCTCCTCACCGCTCGCCATTCGGCTGTGACATCAGCTCCCTCCTCCGCCCCACCCCGCCGGCTTCAGCGCTTCATTCACTTCTCCTTGGATCCCCACTGCATACAGATGGGGAGAGCTGCTGGGGGATCCGGTAGAAAAGCCCCACTTCTCCCTGCTGGCTGTGACCCCCCCCCACCAGCACCTGCACATAAGGCGAGAGCCTGAGTCGCCTCGCCCTTGCTACGGCCCTGACTGGGGGTCCCTGGTTCAAATCCTAAACAGGACATGATCTGCAAGGAGTTTGCATGTTCTCCCTGTGCTTGCGTGGGTTTCTTCCCATACTCCAAAGACATGCTGGAAGGTTAGTTAGCTCTGTATGTATGCACATGAGATAGAGACCTTAGATTGTAAGTTACTTGAGAGCAGGGACTTATGGGAATGTACACATGCAAAGCGCTGCGTAAATTGTCGGTGCTATATAAATTATAAAATCTGCAATAATATTTTTTTGCATTCAGGTCTCCAGAGCATTGCAACCAGGATTAGTGATCATGGGTGCAATGCTCAGACTCCTGCATTGTTTACATCCAAGCACCAGGTTCGCACGGAGGTATGGACTTACTATTACAGGGCTGGAGAAACAAATGGACTCAAGTGCGTGGCACCACCTCACATGTGCTCCATTAAGAACTACAAGTCTGTCTGGTGCAATGGCGGATACATTTGTAGTCTTTCCATAGGGAGTAAGCCAACAGCACACCAAAATCTTCATCATCAAAAACCCTTTATTGTTGTTGGTCGATCGTTAAATCGACCTTTTGGGACCATGCAGGATCCCTTCATCAGGGATCTGATGTGGTCCTGAAACGTCGCTTTCTTTCTGTAATGTGATGATTGACCAACGACAATAAACACATTTTGTTGATTAGGATTGTGGTGTGACTAAAGCCGGCCATACACTGTTCTATTTTTTTGTTTAACCCACGAGCTGAACAAAAAGAACAGAATAGATTCCTTCATCAACTCTTTTACAAGTTTCCTTTGTATTCGCCAGCCCCTGTCAGAATACCCAAACAGAGCCAGCAGCTGATTGGTTTGAATTGTTCGAAGATGCTGGCTCCTTTGATCAGCTGATAGAGTTCATCAAGAACCAGCTGAAATTCGAATAGTGTATGGCCAGTTTTACGCCCTATGTTATATTCAGCGGCGCCATCCATTTGTCACTAGTGCATCCACCAAGAGACAACAGGGGATATACTGGTTAGGTGTGCAATGTCATACCTGCAATGATTGTAGTCTTTCCATTCACAGATCACAGATAAGTGGGGGGCGGTTTGAGGATGAGGGTTGGGAATTGTAATCATGTTTGATGTTTGATGTTGAGCCCTAAATATGGGTGTATATCAGTCACAAAGGGGAACTAAGCCTTTAAATCACTGTGAAGCGCAGTAGAGCCTTCTTAAACAGAAGTTACCTCTGCAATATAATCTCAAATCTCCAAAATATTCAGTTTATTTCACATTTTATGCTAGTGAGAGGGACCATGCAAATTATTTTTATTTTTTTTACCCTGGGCCAACAGCACTGCTGTATCTTTTCTGTATATACTGACTTGATGAATTGCAAAAAGAATAATACTGCTAGTCTAAAAATGTTACTGCCTCTTTAACATTTTTGACTCCTGCAAGTTGCACCCTGCGTAAGGATAGAGAATCACATCTGCTTCCAGTACTGAAACCACCCAGGATGTTATTTTCGGCAGCAGATTTTTTCAGAAATGACCCCCACCCCCCTCTTATAGGAGTCTACGATCACCTGGATATCTTCATAAGAGGAAGCTGAAGGATGGACAAGTGCGGCATATTATCAGCAGCCCTACTGCTGCTATTTGCTGTATATGTAACAGGTATGTGAACAGGGATTGGGCAGGAGTAGGTGCTAAATGGGTAAACCTTTGCTTATAACAGCCTGCAGATTTCTTTTATTATAATGTAGCACTATTTAATGCATTAGTTTCATATCATATAGCAGAATTCGTTTTTTAATGAGTTCTTGCAGATTCATTTAATTTACATAAAAATGTTAATTTATATACATATAAATAAAAGACATGCATCCTTTTAAAAGTATTATGTCATATAAGATGTATGCATGTTAGCAAAAAATATGCTTCACACAGCATCTTAGCACACGCTGATCGGTACTGTTGTGCTATAGAAATTAATGATATGACTTGCTATTGAAAAAATGATATGTATTTTTTATTGATCTGCCTGACACCAGACTTAACTAGCATGCATAAAAATTAACACAAATAAGGCTAATTAATCCATATACCCATTAAAAAATAATGAATACATATTAAATTAAAATTGATTCTGTGAAATATGTACATGTAATGTGTATAAATTTAGCTAGTTTTAATTCTCTTTAGCTTCTAACGTACTGCACTTACATAAAATAGTATTTTACATGGTCCTCACTTATGTACCTCTCTCACCCAAAAAATGAAAGTAACAAACTCATTTATACATTTAGCAATATAGGGTACATAAAACCTTGGAGTCTGCTTTGCTAGGGTCACCATGCCACTATTTTTGCTATACTTATAGAAATGCAAATGCAAACTCTAATTTATTAAAACCCGAATGCATTTATAATACATGGCTTGTAACAAGCTAATGATGAATTAAAATAAAATTATGAAGATGATTAATTTACATCCCATCAAGTCACAGGAACAGGTGAGCAGGGACTTTAGGACTGAAAAAACGTATTATTACATTACAATTAACTTGTTGCCATTCTAGTCCTAAAATAATTATGTTTATAGCAAAATCTTTGGCATTCCTCTAATACTCTTAAAATCTGACATATTTGAGCCTGTAAATATCTACCCATTGTTTTGTGATTAGATAGGTGATTGTAGAAGTATAAGTGCACTTGCAACAGCACGCTCCAATCACTTAACTGCGATTGGAGAGCAATCTAAATATTATAAAGACTAAGCTAAGAGGTCCATTTTCTAAAACTTCTGCCCAGCCATACACTAGACGAATGCCATTTGCACTGCATTTCTGCCCCCAGATGGAGCAGAGGAGCATAGGAAATTCATCTCTGTCCACACAGTTGTCATCTATTTACAGATCCTTTGACAGGTCCTGCCTGGTCCAGCTGCTGTGGCTGAGGCACTTGTAGCCCTCAATGGAAAACAAGTGCGGGGACATCACCACACTTGTAGTCCATTGACACTCCCTCTCGTCCATGTTATTAAATGTCTGTACCTCGCTTATGGAAGAGTCTACAGGAGCCAGAGCATTGCACCCATAAGCTACTGATTGTGTTTGCAATGCTTTACTGAAACTTGTTAAAGATGTCACCAGCACACCATATTGAAGTGAAGAACACGCCTGTTTATTGACGCTTCATGTCAAAACAAATAGCAACTTTTCGGGGGCACACAGGATCCCCTTCATCAGGCTTGAAATGACTGATGAGGCCCCAAAACGTTGCTATTTGTTTTGACATGAAGCGTCAATAAACAGGCGTGTTCTTCACTTCAATATGGTGTGCTGGTGACATCTTTAACAAGTTTCAGTATTGGCGGCGCCATCCGCAATCACTTCGAGCACTCACGCTGACAGTGATACCCGGTAAGGAGTGCAGCAGGATTCTGGAATATATATGCAATGCTTTACTGGCTCCAATGCAAAATAATAATAAATGCACATTTTATCTTTTATGAAGAAGGGTAATTGCATGCTCCCAACTACCTCTGGTCTCTGGTCTGTGTATCCAGGAATGATATCCTAATTTTATTAACTGACAGAGGGTGCAGAGTATAAGAGGTGATGTCATTGTCTTAATTAGAAAGTATTAAACATCCTTATTAGGCATTGCCCTAGAGGAGCCAATATAGAATACAGGTCCCTCATCCGGCGGATTGAGAATACAGCACAGAAACAAAAAGCACTGTTAACATATGTGCATTTAATCATGTTGCTGGTGCGGTGGGTCTTACAGTATAGACATTTTGCATTTTAAGTGTATTTTACACTTTTTACTTTAGCATTAAACTTTGTTATGTACATTTTGCTGGAAACCACATCAAAGATACAGCCAGCAGGATTTTTCCCTACACATTGTACCCACAATGCACTATAAACAGATATGAACCTTCATGAAACTACTAATGAGCAGATTGGCTTAGACCGGTTCAATTCTAGTCAGAGGTTTTCCATAACAAGTTGTTTACTCAGCAAGTAAACAGCAATAATAAAACATATTTCCTGAAGTAGGCGCTTCAGTAACAAGCTCAAGTAATTTGTATTTTATATGATTTTATATTTCATAAATGAAATAGTATAATTTAATGAAACAACACTACCGCCACTAGATGGCACTGATGACCATATAAATAGTGCTCCTCAGCGCCAGCTAGTGGCGGTAGTGCTGTGCGAACAGCATTTGCCCAGCTACACACTGGGTGAAAGATTTATAAATCAGCCTCTATGTGTATAACATTTAAATGATACTTTGAACATAAAAACTAAAATCGGGTCTGGTTTTTGAAATAGGTGCAAAAAATATTCTATAGTCCTATATTTTCTCTGCCGCAGTATTTATCATGGTATCAGCCTGGTGTCTGCTGTGTTTTTGACCTACCGTTATTACATCTTCATATGTTAGTTCCACTCTTTTTTTGAAATACATATTATGTGTTTGCAGGGCAGTATTATATTGAGGAAGAACGCACTTTGTTAGATAACAAATGCAAATGCATCCGCGTAACCTCAAAATTTGTTCCATCAACGGAAAACCCAGACGAAATGATTTTAGAACGGAATATTGAAATAACGTAAGTTTAAGCCCTTTTGTAATCTCAAATTGATGCTTTTGGGTCACATTTATTGATTTTTTTTTAAAGTTCTAAAACTGATATTCTATTTCTTTCTTTATTATTTTCACAACATTTTATATTTAAAAATAAGCATTTACTACAGGCTGCACCCATCACACACTGATTTTGCAGAGCAACCTGGGATTACTTAAATTAGCCTTTTTTAAATGTACTGGGTAATGTCAAGCAGTGCCACATTGCCCAGTATATTTGTTCCTTAACCTCCCTGGCGGTATTCCCGAGTCTGGCTCGGGGTGAATTTTCAATGCTAGGAGTGGTAACCCCGAGCAAGACTCGGGGCTGCAGAGAAAAGTGACACTCACCTTGTCCCTGCGATCCCGCGGCGTCCTTTGCTGTGCGCGGCTCGAAAATGAAACTAAAAGCCGACATCTGACTCTTAGTTTAGTTTTAGGGGCGTCACAGCAGGCGGGAAATTCAAAAGTGAAAAGTTGTAATGTACACAGAATACACACAATACAATGTAATCTCCTATGATTACACTTATGTATCAAACTATTTCACTTCAATTTTGTCCCTAGAGCTTTGTCTAGTGCCCTGCCTGACACTTTTTCACAATTATAAGAAATTATAATATAAGAAATAATTATAAACAATTATAATAAAATAATTTAAAAAAATGGTCCAGTAAATGGGAATTCTGGCGGCGTTGTTGATCCCTACTACAGTAAA